GTCCTTCCCATTTACTTTTTTAAAATCTGGCCATGCTAGGTCTTCTTTGCGGCTCACAGGTTTTCTCTAGTTGCAGTGAGCAGGGGCTACTCATTGCAGTGGCTTCTTCTTGTGAAGCATGGGCTCTAGGGCCCACCAGGTCAATAGTTGTGGCACACGGGTTTAGTTGCCCGCAGCGTGTTGAAACTTCCCAGAGCAAGGATGGAACCCATGGCCCCCATATTGGCAGGCAAATTCCTAACCACTGGACCACCAGGGAAATCCCAGTCTTGCATCTTTGTTGTGGAATGTGGGCTTCTTAAGTTGTGGCACAGTCTTACTTGCCCCATGGCATGTGGGATCTTAGTTCCCCGAGCAGGGATCAAACCCGGTTACCCTGCATCAGGGGGCAGATTCTTAACCACTCGACCACCAGGGAAGACCCCTCTTAAAGAGTCAGCTCCACCGATCTGTCAGGCCATTGTAAATCCTTCCTTCTTTGAATCCTTGTTAACACTCCCACTTTGAAGCATGTAATCTATTAAGGATTGATGTCTAGTTGTTTTGTAGAACTGGGAGCTTTTTAGTCCTCTGACTGCACCAGAATCCCTCACACCTTTAAGCAAACAGTGCTTAGTTCACATCAGTTCAGTTCAGTCACTCAGTCGTGTCCGACTCTTTGTGACTCCATGAATCAGAGCACACCAGGCCTCCCTGTCCATCACCAACTCCCGGAGTTTACCCAAACTCATGTCCATCGAGTCAGTGATGCCAACCAGCCATCTCATCCTCTGTCGGTCCCTTCTCTTCCTGCCCCCAATCCCTCCCAGCATCAGGGTCTTTTCCAATGAGTCAACTCTTTGCATCAGGTGGCCAAAGTACTGGAGTTTCAGCTTCAACATCAGTCCCTCCAACGAACACCCAGGACTGATTTCCTTTAGGATGGACTGGTTGGATCTCCTTGCAGTCCAAGGGACTCTCAAGAGTCTTCTCCAACACCACAGTTCAAAAACATCAATTCTTCAGTGCTCAGCTTTCTCCACAGTCCAACTCTCACATCCATACATGACTACTGGAAAAACCATAGCCTTGACTAGACGGACCTTTGTTGGCAAAGTAATGTCTCTGCTTTTTAATATGCTATCTAGGTTGGTCACAACTTTCCTTCCAAGGAACAAGTGTCTTTTAATTTAATGGCTGCAATCACTATCTGCAGTGATTTTGGAGCCCAAAAAAATAAAGTCTGACGCTGTTTCCACTGTTTCCCCATCCATTTCCCATGAAGTGATGGGACAAGATGCCATGATCTTAGTTTTCTGAATGTTGAGCTTTAAGCCAACTTGTTCACTCTCCTCTTTCACTTTCATCAAGAGGCTGTTTAGTTCCTCTTCACTTTCTGCCATAAGGGTGGTGTCATCTACGTATCTGAGGCATATAAGTATCCATAAATACTTTTGACTGTAATTCCACTGCCTATCCTAAGCGGTTACATTAGAACATGGAATGCTCCTCCTCCATTACCCGTTTTATTAGTGGACACTCTGATATACTGGCCTACTCACTAAGTGTTCAATAATGAGGACACAAAATATACTTCTTTTAATGTCTAAACCAGCCTTCCCTGGTGGCTCAGACAGTAAACAATCTGCCTGCAACGTGGGAGACCCAGGTTTGATCCCTGGGTCAGGAAAATCCCCTGGAGAAGGGGATGGCTACCCACTCCAGTACTCTTCCCTGGAAAATCCAAGGACAAAGGAGCCTGGTGAGCTACAGTCCATGAGGTCACAAAGTTGGACACAACTGAGCAACTAACACTTTCACTTTTTCAATGTCTAAATTAAGTCCTCTCTACCTACCAACACTGATGCCTACTTAGAGTAGTGGAGATAAAAGCAATGACCTTCACATAAAAGATTATTCCTCATTCTCTCACATTTAGTTTATATACTTGAAACAACTTGAATAAACCCTTCATCAAGTGGCAAATGCAGTACTACTTTAAACATGTTTTTTTTCTGTCTTCTCACTGAAGGGGTAAGCTCTTTTTTAAACAGAATTTTGCCTCATCCCTCTGCCTCTTTCCAGAGATGCTGGGGTCTCAGAGGGTCCCTCAGGCACCTGGAGGCAGCAGTTCACTCTGCAACCCACGTCCTCCAATGGTGTGGCCAAAGACCAAGTGTCATGGGTCTACTGGCTCCAGGATGGGGACAGTGTTTGAGGTCAGGAATTAGCCAGGAGGTGCCTGGAACTGAGACCTCAGCTCACTGAAACAAGGGGGAGCCTCTTCGGCCGCTGGACACAGCACCTCCACCTCCCTCCTCGCCCCTCAACCTTTTGAGCACCGAGGTAATCTCTTTAGATGAGGTGGCATTCCATGGCATACTCCTGAGCACTTGACACAACTGTTCTGTACATGGTAGGCACTCAAAACTTTTTTCAATCAGTATTTTCCAGAATATAAAATCTCACAGTATTTTTCTCTTAAAATGACCTCTGTATAGTGATTCCAAATATTTCTACCCACACACAGGTAAATAAAGGAAAGGCCCAATAAGTTGTTTAAAAGTTTTGTATTGTGTCATACAAACTGTCTTCAAAAACAAGTGCATAAGTGAAAAATTTTTCTTCCCTTTGCTCCCCAAACATTACAGTAGACTAATTCTTGCTAATAGATCACAAAGGTAAAACATTATGTCCCCTTTTGAATTCAAAACAGTTAATTTTAGACACCAGTTTCCAAATTTTGTAATTCACCAACCTGGTATGGACATAAACAGTTCCAGTGCTTTTCAACTTATCTGTCCCTGAAGTTTTCTCTCTTCAAAGTTCCAGGCAGTAACTGATTTTAATGCCCTCAAATTAGATAAAGCTGACTATTTAGAGCTTATAAATTACTTACACTATACAATCACTAAGAATAGAACTATGACCTACACATTACACCCCTCTAACTACTTAGCACCATGAACAGAATTCTCAATATTAATTGATGGGCTAATTAATCCAATGATCAAATATATGACACTGATAGTCTTAAAAAAACTCATTTGTTATTTTTCTTATATATAATAGAAATTCCCTCCTGTCTTAAAGATTTTTTTTCTGGCAATATTCTCTGCTGCCTTGACTATCCTGAACTTCTTGCTTGATGCTAATAACAATTCCCTAGGTCATTAGTAATGAGAAGCTAAGGCATTAAACCTAATAGGCTCTAAGCTAGTTTAAATGTGAAACACTATTTATAGAATTGCACTGTACTTATCTTCTGTCATGGTTCTCCAAAGTGCTATGATTCCTTAAGATATTTGTCCTGCATAGATTCAAATTCTGTATCTTTCACTTTTGGATGGCTTGAGTACCATAAAACATGATTTATCTGGTAGGAAAAACACCTCCAGGAGTTTCAAAAGGGACCACTACTCAGCTAAAAAAGTTACAATCATCACTTTTCCTTAAACCTAGAACATATTCCACTGATTGGAAGGAAAAATCCCATCCTTCTGTTGGTAATAAAAATGGAAAACAGTATGTTGAGCTGTGTGCTTTTTAAAAGGTGCTACACAAAGTCATGTTTTTAAAGTGGTCACAAACATTGCTTCAGTGACATTTAATGTTCAACATATGCTACATTACTCCTAGCACTTTTGTACTTAATCTCCATGCATAACAAGTTCAGGTATCACAATAATCCTGGATCTAAAAGAAAGAGTTCACCACCAATATTTAAAGCTGATTCTTCCCAAGAAGACAGGATAGTTTTTCCACTATGCAGTGATCAAAGTGGTATTCTCTTAGGCTAAGCTTTGTCAAGGCTCAGACAAAACCCTGAGGTGAACTTAGCAAGGTCCTTGTAAAGAAATCTTCAATGAGAAACTCAGCACACGGGAATTTTAAAGCTTCAAGGCTGGCTCATTAAACAGAAATGCCACAGGCTTTCTCAGAACACTGAGTCTAGTGATTGTCTATGTCAAGGAGGCACATACACAGTTTTACCAACTCCTGGTTAGTCTCTCTCTGTGGGAAAATGCAGTCGTCTGGCGAAGGGCCTATAAAACATTCTGCCAGGCTTAGCTCTTCTAGAGAGCATGAAGAAGTGAGGGGCAAGCACTAGGAAGCAGTTAATGTAAGTGTATTGGTGAGTGCATCTCTGGGGAAAAAAATAAACCTATACAAGGCAATGGCTATCCCAACCAAATATTTAAACAAGAGTTTAGTAATCTAGTAATGGTTTCCAAAGTGTTTACCTTTGAAGGTAAACAAAGATAAAACCCTGAAAGGAAGAGTAAAATAACCTTGTAGGAAAAAGAAAGCTTCATTACATTTTACTTATTTGTTTGTTCTCATTCATCCCAGTGAATTTGGGTCAAATGTGTACTTCTTAGAAAAGACAGGCTCCTCTGGGGAGCACTGTTCTGATCCTACCTTTTTCTAGCCAAGTTCCTGCAAAAACATACAGCCTGATTTCCCCATTCTCATCACTATCTGCAACAGGAGTCAGTTCCATAGCTATCGGTTGAACTTTAGCACTGATTTCTGTAGAACTGATTTCCCAATATGATTTTTGTTCTGTCTCCAGGAAGCACAGCATGAATAGAAAAGACAGAAGTCCTTCCTAGGAAAATGCAGTTGCGACTGCAAGAGAGTGCAGAATAGTGTATGGCAAAAAATTCCTCTTGTGAGCTTAGCCAAACACATATGGTATACATATTCCCCTAGGCATAAAAAAGTTACATTAATTATGTCAGCAACAGAATCCAAAACATTGGCAGATCAAATTCTAATGTGGCAAATTAAACAGTAGACAGTGCTCCACTGGGTTAATAAAATCAGAATTAGCTAAGACACAATACTTTAAATACCACATCATTGAAATCTCCTAGTGGGCATGTCCCCTTCATCAGTTACTTTTAAAATAACGGTCATAACAGGAGAAAGAACAAGCACCATGCTCACTAATGCAGGTTACTGGACTGCTCTGATTAAGCACTGCAGTTCACAGATAAACATTTCACATCTTTCCTTCAAGTTACTGAATCTTTCTTCTTCCGGAATGGTGATTTTAGCCTCTTCCATACACTATTTTTGGGCTTAGATTTTTTCTCCATGGCCAGCACTGCCTCCTTTTCTTTCCTACGAATCTCCCGGACAAGGGCATGGAATACATCATCGATGTAGTAGCGGTATGCAGCAGATGTCTCAAAAAAGGGGCAGCTGAATTCTCGGGCCAAAGCCAATCCTTCTTCCTTGGTGACCTTTAAAAATGTAAACAAGAGAACACTTATAGTGGTAATAGTATAGTGGAATTTTAGCTGAGCTATTTAAAATCCTAAAAGACAATATTGTTAAAGTGCTGCGCTAGGTCAACAAATCTGGAAAACTCAGCAGTGGCCACTGGACTGGAAAAGGTCAGTTTTCATTCCAATCCCAAAGAAAGGAGTGACAAAGAATGTTCAAACTACCATACAGCTGTGCACATTTCACATGCTAACAAGGTCATGCTTAAAATCCATCAAGCTAGGCTTCAGCAGTACATGAACCAAGAACTTCCAGATGTACAAGCTGGATTGAGAAAAGGTAGAGGAACCAGAGATCAAATTGCCAACATCTGCTGAATCATAAAAAAAGCAAGTGAGTCCCAGAAAAACATCTACTTCTGCTTCATTGACCACGCTAAAGCCTTTTTGACTCTCTGTGGATCACAATAAACTGTGGAAAATTCTTTTTTTTTTTTTTTTTGAAAATTCTTAGAGACAGGAATACCAGACCACCTTACCTATCTCCTGAGAAACCTGTATGCAGATCAAGAAGCAACAGTTAGGACCTTACCTGTAACAATGGACTGGTTCAAAATTGGGAAAGAAGTATGACAAGGCTGTATATTGTCACCCTATTTATTTAACTTATATGCGGAGTACATCAGCAAAATGCCAAACTGGATGAAGCACAAGCTGGAATCAAGATTGCCGGGAAAAAATATCAACAACCTCAGATATGCAAATGATACCACTCTAATGGCAGAAAGTGAAGAGGAACTAAAGAGCCTCTTGATGAAAGTCAAAGAGGAGAGAGAAAAAGCTGGATTAAAACTCAACATTCAAAAAACTAAGATCATGGCATTTGGTTCCATCACTTCATGGCAAATAGACGGGGAAAAGGAAACAATGACAGATTTTATTTCTTGGGTTCCAAATTCACAGCAGTGACTTTAGTCATGAAACTGAAAGATGCTTGCTCCTCGGAAGGAAAGTTATGACAAGGCCAGACAGCATATTAAAAAGCAAAGACATCTCTTTGCCAATAAAAGTCTATATAGTCAAAGCTTTGGTTTTTCTAGTGGTCATGTATGGATGTGAGTTGGACCATAAAGAAGGCTGGGCACTGAAGAATTGATGCTCTCCAACTGTGGTGCTGGAGATGACTCTTAAGAGTCCCTTAGATAGCAAGGAAATCAAACCAGTCAAACCTAAAGGAAATCAACCCTGTATATTCACTGGAAAAGACCCTGATGCTGGGAAAGATTGAGGGCAGGATTGAAGACAGAGGATGAGATGGTTGGATGACATCACTGAAACTCGGTGGTTTGATGACTTTGAGCAAACTGGGAGATACTGAAGGACTGGGAAGCCTGGTGTGCTGTCGTTCACAGGGTCGCAGTGTCAGACAAAACTCAGCAACTGAACAACAGTAGAAAATAATTACAACTGCCACCCCAAAATGAGGGTAGCAGGAAGAGACCTCTCCAACTCTGGTGATGTCCAAGCAGAGCAGAGTGATATTTGTATTGTTGAGAGGCGGGATTATTTCACTTCTAAGACTCCTTCCATCTTCAAATTATGTGATTCTATTTCTAGTCTACTTAAAGGTAACTTTTTGGAACAGGGAATATTTATAGATGTCAAATATACAATCTTAATTTCCTCACACATTTCAAGAAAGTAAATCACAAGGCAGAGAGATGTTATAATTAAGTTACAATACTGAAAACTGTAAGAACCTGAAATTGACATATCAAATTATGAATATAACAAAATTTCTCCTACTTTTGGACAGTTAGCCTTTTTCTAATTTTTTGCTGCCATAAATAGCCTAGCAACAAATATTTTATATATAAATCCCCAAACAGATTATTCTGAAGAGGAAGCAACCAAGAAACATCATGAACTTAACTACTATCCAATTACTTCTAAAAATTCTGTACCATTCATTGCCTTCACTAGTGGTGATAAATATGCCCCTTTCACTACACCTTCATCTCTATACCAAAAAGCAAAATTTTAAACACTGCTGCTAATTTGAAGGGTATCACTCATTCTAAAATCCTCTACAATTTCTCTTATTCTCCCTCTACTGGGCTCATAATCCTCACCATCAGGAAGTATACCTTGAAGCCTAAGTTTCTCTTTTTGCAACATAAACAGACTTATTTCTGAGGTTTTAGGAAATGAAAATCCCATGATACCTCCATCTGTGCTTGTGCTCACTGTGTCTGACTCTTTTCGACCCTCTGGGCTATAGCCTGCTAGGCTCCTCTGTCCATGCAATTTTCCAGGCAAGAACACTCGAGTGGGTAGCCATGTCCTCCTCCAGGAGATCTCCCCAACCCAGGGATAGAACTCATGTCTCCTGCGTCTCCTGCAATGCAGGTGGGTTCTTTACTGGCTGAGCCATCGGGGAAGTCCATGATGCCTCACTTAAAGTGTATCCTACTTGTCATCTGATTTGTCACCTGTGGATTTTGTCCTGTAAACTGATTCCTACAATCCAGATTTTACCCAAAATACTAGCAAGATATAGGGACGTTTTCCAGGCTAGGGAGAAGCTAATTTTAAATTTTCATTTTAAGGCACAGAAATTTATAAACCAAGAAAACACAAATGACTAATCTCACAAGATTACATATAGCATTTTCTAGTCTATCCTCACCTGTCTTAGCTGCTTTAGGTCAGACTTGTTTCCCACAAGAACCACAGGAGTATCATCAGTACGTCGAACTCGATAAATAAGCTGTTTAAACTCCCGAACTTCATGGAAACTTCGACGATCAGTAATGGAGTAACAGATGATAAACCCTTCTCCTGCCCTCATATACTGATCCCGCATGGCTGTAAACTCTGCCTGGAGGGAATACAAGGGTCATTAGTGTACTAATAACAACCCCAAACTATACACACTTTAGCTATTTAGTTCAGATCAAAGAGAGATGTTTGTTACCTGCTGTCCTGAGTCAGAGTGCATGAAAAATTAAAAGAAATGAACCAGTGATCTTCTCTGCATAAGTCTTTCCCTCTCCTCTACTAGCACGAAAAGGCCTTTACTCATAGCATTTTGAGATTTAATACCTGTCCAGCCGTATCCAAAATGTCCAGATTGGCAGGCTCATCATCAATACGGATCCGGATTTTATAAGCATCTTCTACAGGAAGGAAGAGAGGCAGTACCATCAACTCATAAATGCAGGAATATGCAACCTTATTTTGAAATTCATCTTATGGAGAAGGAGATTACACACAAGTTTCTTTAAGTGCCCAGATGTTCAAAGGAAGCCCCTAAATCCATTCAGATATGTAAATTGGGTCTTCAACTAATTTTTTTCTTCCACATAAGCCATGACATAAGTTTATTCATAGCTTAAACTTCTAAGACTTCACCTACAATTCTAACCTAAAAAAGAGCTCAGAGATTTTCTTTTTGAAAAATGTCAGGCCATAAAAGTAATTTTACCATTTATTAAATATATTAAACACTAAGCATTATATTAAGTGATTTATATATAAACTCATTCAATAGTGAAAATATTTCAGTGAGGTGGTATTAACTCCATTTTACAGATTAAAAAAAAAACTAAATGTTACAAAGTTCATTAATGATTTAACCAGAATCAAAACCAAGGGCAGCTTGACTTGACTCAAAAGTTTTCTTTATAGTTCCTCCCCATTTTTAATACAGGAAAAAGAAAATTCAGAGTCTCCTAGAGAATCCATATAGTCAAAATTTCTCCTTTATGAGAGCCATTTCTTTTTGTGTATTATTATGGTAATCTTGGAAAATACAGAAAAGTAAAAAAGAAAAGCCTCACTATTTCCAATATTCAAACATTTGCTCCTTACACCCTGATGTACTTCCTTCAAACAGTTTTTCTTGAATCCCTGCTTCTGACTCTTCCTCAAAGATGAAGGGCCTACTAAACCAATGATTTTCAAACTACAGGTCATGTATCCATCAGTATTTGTGAGCTGTGGATGAATTTAATGGGTTAGGACCAGCGTTAAAATAAACAAGGAGAAACCTAAAATGAAAAGAGGAAATACAAAAACATACTACGTATGTTACAAAAAAGTGTAACATACATAGTGAGGTAAACAGAGTTTCATGGTATTTTAATTACATATACTTATGTGCAAATGTATACTTATATGTGCATGTTACAATATATATAGTTTCTTCTTAGATTTAGCAGTCAAAGTTTGCAACAAACTTGCATTAAGAAACTAAATGAGAGGCTTCTCCATCCATGGGGTTTTCCAGGCAAGAGTACTGGAGAGGGTTGCCATTTCCTTCTCCAGGGATCTTCCGGACGCAGGGATTGAACGCAGGTCTCCCGCATTGTGGGCAGAGGCTTTACCCTCTGAGGCACCAGGGAAGCACGAATGAGAGCAGACACCCATATCTTTTTGCTCACGACTGTAACCCCAGGGCCTAACACAGTGCTTGGCACATAACTCAATAGGTAAAAGCATGTTATTGAATCAGATAATGTTGTCAGAAGAGCAGCTGAGTAGGGGTGGGGGGGGACTTTGTCAGGGGATAAGTTTTTAGTTGTTGTTTTTTTTTTTTTGCGGGGGGTGGGGGTTGGGGGAGGTCCACCATGCTGCTTGCAGGATCTTAGTTCCCTGACCAGAGTTGGAACTTGTGCCCCCTCGAATGGAAACACAGTCTTAACCACTGGACTGCACTGTCAGGAACGTCCCAGGAAAAGCTACTTCTAAGTAAATTATCCTAAGCCCTAAATTAATTTTGTTCCTAGAATTCCCACCACAGTGTGAATTCATGAACAATGTTCTAAATTTAATATAGTACATGAAAAAATAAGAACTGTTTCTATTTTCCCCAAGCCACAAAAAGCATCTACTATATAAAATGACCATATCCAAAGATGGGTTAGCACAGAACACTCATTGGCTTGACCCAATGGAAATTCTCCCGAGACCCAGGACCAAAACAGTGTCACCTCCTCAAAACATAACTAATACAGCCGGCCTTCTGTGCCTCCCCATTCCCATCACAAGTTTTCTATAATCCTAGGATATAACTCCTAAAAATCAAACCTGTCTCCTTCTGGTTCAGGAATAACAGTAACATGCTTAGTGTTTACAGAGAATAGCAATTAAAAAAAAATTACTTTTTACTCTGTTTTACTAATAACTGACCATTAAGGACTGTGAAAGACATGAAGAGAGACCTTGCTATGTAATGAACTTGAGGTATAAGGAAGTAAACGAAAGGCTTCTCGTGGAACAAGTCAATCCAGGCTCTGGATGTCTGGGTTGTAAAGAGTTCAGCAGGCTGGCTCTACTTGTTTTTCTGCTTCCTTTTGTGGAAGTTCAAACCAGCTGACTCATAGTTAGAGTCAGTCTCAAATCAGACCCTTAGAAAAATGATAGCAAAAGGCTTCTGTTAAGTGGCCCTTAAATTTTTCTTTTAACCTGGCAATATGGTATACCAACCATAAAAATATAACAAAGTGTCCCATTAATGTTCAATAAAAGACAAACTAAGATGGCTGATGTACATAAAGACAAGCTAGGAAAAAAGAAAATATTCATTTGCTTAGCAATCACTATGATACGCTTATTAAATAAGTCTGTTCAGGCACCAAAAAAGGATCAAAATATAAATGGTTTAAAACTGTTTCAAAAACTGACACAAAGAAACTTTTATGGGGTTTATTTGTAAAACAAGTGATACTCTGACTTACCAATGGTAGGATCATGATCTTCTGGAAATCGGTGGCTAATGAACTGCATGGTCATGGCTTTAAAACAAGAAATGAAAGGTAAAATCCACAGAAACATGACCCATGGAAAGAACTGTTAAGTATCAACACTATATGCTAGCCAGTCTCCCAGTTGATTTGGGTGGAAGGCATTTGTTCCAAGCATTTTTCATTCTTACTTCTTGTAAGATGGAAGAAAAACGTCACCTACCACTTTTCCCTACACCACCAGCACCCAGCATCACTAGTTTATATTCCCGAGACAGCCCGGCAGGGCTGCTACAGCTACCAACTGGGCGAGTCCCAGCATCCATTGTCCTCCTGGAGAATCCCGGGCTGCCCCGAGGAAAAGGCACCTAGAATAAAAGAAGAAAATATTTAATCCAGGATGGAGGCACTTGTGACAACAGTCCTAGTCAGTGCCCTGCCTTCCCATACGCTCCCTTTCTGGCGGCCGTAAAAGAAATCCTTCACCATCACCTTCCCTCCCGGACAGCTCAGTCTTATGACTTATCACAGGTTTTACGAATTATTACATTTTCCAGAAAGACTAGAGACGAAGAAATCTTGAATTTTTCAAACTGGGATACAGCAGGAAGAAGCCCAGTAAGTTGAGGTTTGAGGACCAAAGGAACACCTCCCCTTAGGCCGCAAGGGTCCTCTCACGCCAGCGGTACCCGGAGGTTCCGCCCCCTCCCCCAGCTGCATCTCCGGCCCGCCTTCAGGCCCTCCACCCTTCCGTTTCAGGGGCCAGCCTTCTCCTGCTGCTCTTACCGGTCGGAACTGGAAGGCCTCGGCAGGTCTGATCACCTACTTCGTCCGCCTCACTCGCGCCGAGGACCCGACACTGACCTGTGACCCCTCCCGCAGCCGGGAAAGATGGCGCCAGCAGCGCCCGTGTCCCGACCGGAGGGGCGGGGCGGCCCCGTGACGCCCGCAGCTGGCCACACCCCCTCCGGGGAGGGCCATCTTCCCTCCAGGTCCTCAAACCTAGTTCCGCGCCTCGCGGGCCCTTGTGGGGCAGAGTATCAAACTTAGGACATGCCCACAAAGGCGTTAAAACAATTAACAACTTACCCAGTACTGTATATGATATACAAAAAATTGGCCAAATATAATGGGTAAACAAAGGAAACGGGCACCCACCAAATCCTCCCCAAAACAGGACCAAGATCAAGTTTAAGGCTTAAGAGCAGAAAAAGAAAAATTCCCCCAAATGAACAAAAGCGATGATTTGGGCTCTTAAATGACTTGAGACAATCAGGTCTCAAAGTCAACTAGTTAGATTAATCAGATTTCTGCACATATTTTAAGCAAATGTTAAGTGAAATATTTAGAATTTTTAAAAAATTTTAACGAATATGCCTTCCCACAGGAAATGATAATTCAAGAGTTTTCAGGTGGCCTTAAACACAGCACAGATTAAGGAATTATCAACTATATTCACCTGTAGGTAGCAAAAACAATTACACTGGGAAATTTTTGTTTCAACTTTTGCACCCTTCCTTCTTTTTGAAGCAGATTTTCCCAAGAATAAATTTGTATTTCCTTTAAAAATGCTTCCTTCACTCGGTATCTTTAACCATGTTCAATAAAGGGGGACAACAATATGAAAGTGGAAAATATCCATCATAAAAAGCCTCTATTTTTATTTGAATTTTTAAGGGTTTACAGTCGTAAAACTTTTGGAACTACATGCAAACTTTTGGGTCTATGTAGGTATTTTTCTGATGGAGCTATAATATTATGTTGGGGCTTCCCTGGTGGCTCAGATGGTAAAGAATCTGCCTGCAATGAGGGAGACCCAGGTTCAATCCCTGGTCAAGAAGATCCCCTGGAGAAGGGAATGGCTACCCACTCCAGTATTCTTGCCTGGAGAATTCCATGGATATAGGAACCTGGCAGGCTACAGCCCACAGGGTTGCAAAGTCAGACACCACTGAGCGACTAAAACACACGAGTAAAAAAGGTTATGAATTTTCACATATGGATGGGTTGTGGAATAAAGAACAAAGAAACCACAAGCAGAATATTTATACATTTATTTATAATGAAATTATGATCTAAATATTTACAACATATAGGAAACCAGAGGATACGTTTATACAAAGCCAGTCTGCAAAGTATTCAAATGTGCAAAAATGACAGTTCAGTATCTCAAACTACTCCTGGTTCAGCAGACTAGCTCCTTCACTTTCACACATCAATATTTGATACAAAAAAGTTCTTTTGGCAAAACCTGTAATGCCAAGAAAAAGGACAAGTTGCAATTTCAGTCACTAAGTCCACCATTCTATTCCAAGCAGTCAAATCTCTCTATTTTTAGCTGCAACCAGTTCTCAGAGAGACAGACCATTGGATGTCATTTCTGTGATGAGTTCTGACCAGCTTTTGATCAAGTAATTTTCTCAGACCCAGTTGAAGACAAGGAGCTTAGACGGGCAGTAAAAACAGCAATGGCTATCTGAGACAAGAGTGCCCGAAAGGTACCAGCTTTGGATAATCCCAATGGAAAAAATCCTTCAATATCCCAGGATTCAGCTATATCCAACAGTTCTGCATTAGTAAAACTGCATTTTCCAAAACAAAGAATCCAAAAAAATGAAATAGGGATGAGGAGGTTTTTAGATTTAAGTGCTGAAAGGAAAGGATGGTCTTAAAATCATTTCCCCACTAATAAATAGTAAGGCTTTGTTTGGAACCAGTTTTTATCAAAATTGATCAAACAGTAGTAAAATACAAATAAAACTTGCTTTATGTCAGAATAGGGGCTATTCATTTGGAAAAGACTGGACCAGGTCAAGGGTATATTGAAATGACCCTGTTGAACAAGCACATTTCACCAACTGTTAAAAAGCTTGAGACAAATTTGTAATTCTAAGTAAATTTTAACAGATGCTATGTCACTGCAGAAATAAGGATTTTCTTTAAAAAAGAATGGAAACCCTTTAAGAAAGGGCACACTCATCACTGACTTTTTCCCCCCCATCACTGACTTCTGCAAAAGTCCAAGATGGTTCCTCGTACAGGCCCCAGAGTCTTATTAAATCAAACGCATGCATTATTGCTAGAGAGTCACCAAGGCTCAAATCTCTGCTCCACTGTTGCCTATGGAGCCATCCAGAATGGCATCTGTTGTTTAGCTCGTGGTTGTGATGAAGGATACTGATATCCCAAACTCCAGCCCTGTGGAAAACTACTTGCATTTTTATGACCTCCGTGTTCCTCCTCTTCGTCAGATGAATCTGCAGCATAAGCCACCAAGCCAAACCCCTTCTCTGTAGTTTTCATTTTCTTGACTGGATAATCTAGAAGAAAGAAAAATAACCCAAACCCCATTCCCCACCAAGAAGAAAAAAAAAGATAATACCATAAATTCGTTAATTAAAAAAAAGATGTTAATTGTGGTTAGTTGGACACCATTTTGAGGTCACAGGGTCAATGGTCACCCAAACACGTTGAAGATCACACGAAAAACAGCACCAGCATCAGCAAATGTGAATCCACCAGAACCATGTAAGAAAACAGAGAAAGAAAAAAGAAACACACACACACACAAAAAAAAAAGGAAAAAAAAAAAAGGAAAGTTAGCAAGTAAGTCTCTGGAGTCTAATATTTCACCTTTAAAAAAAGAAGAAAAGAAAAAAATATTTTCTTCTGTTCATTTTTATGACTATAGGCAAAGAACAAAAAACTAATCCCATTTATGGACCTCTCCAAATTTAGAGTTCTGAGATACTAAGAAGCAACATTTTAAAAAAGACACTGGTTGACCATTCCCAACCAATAAATAAGAGATATAAGGTGAGAGGTAGCTCAGCTCCCAACACAAAAATCTTTTTAGTCTGCATCAGACCTCCAAGTAGTCAAACAACAAAGGCAACAAAATTTTGAAATGACCTACCAATCATTACTTTTTCCTAAATGTCACTGATGCTATGTATAAAATGTAAGTCGACTGACTCTTTTCTAGACACACGTCGGTTGAAAATAAAAGGCTGTGTAACTATATGATGTCCTTATAAACAAACAAAAAAAAGTATTCTCATTAGCCAACAGATTATAGAGGTTGGATTAAACACCTGAATAAGTCAACCTGAATGAATATCAGATTAGAAAACTAATAACTTAAAACCAGTCTTAGCCATTCCCTTGCTCCCCCAGCTACACCTCACTCACCATGACTCCCTGTTAAAGTCCCAGACCCGTTCCTTTCGTCAGACTCTGTTTTTATTCCAGTCACTGGAAAGGCTGGTGGAGGCATCAACTGCCTGTTAAAAGTTAAAAATAATTTTTCAGACACATTCAACCTTTCCAGTAGATAAGAAGTTGAATAACAATACAATCTGCAAATAAACGTTCATTTTAACCATTAATTTAATTTTAACCCTTTCTACCTGACACCCTATTCTTCAAGCTATTATCAAGTTGTAAGATTAGGAAATTTCCTGGCAGTCCAGTGGCTAGGATCCAACACTTTCACTGCAGTGCCCCGGGTTCAACCCCTGGTCAGGGAACTAAGATCTCACAAGCCATGCAGTGTGGCCAAAAACAAAAGTTTTAAGATTATAAAGATATAACAGAATGAGTAAATAAACATAAATTAAAGTTGTAATAGGGAACTATATTTAACATTATGGAATAATTTCAAAGGGAAAAGAATCTGAAAAAAAAAAAGATATGTATGTACAGCAAGTGAAGCACTTTGTTGTACACTTAAAATTAATGCAACATTATAAACTATACTTCAAAATAAAAGAAAAAAAATTGTCCCAACTGTCCTGTTTGAATATGCCTTTGTATACTTTCAACTACTGTAAAACATGGTATATCCACTGATGGGATTTGCGAATCACAGTAGGCAAATTTTTATAAACTGCCTACATATTTCTAGGCAGTTTATATGAAATGATGCATCAAGAATTAAAGTATGATATTCTTATGGAAAAAAAAACCAGAATGAATGAATATGAAAGAATGAACTGTTGTGATGAAAACCAGCTCTGTCTTGTGAAGGCTGACATAACACAGGAGAGAATCCAAGCCCTGGGTGGCAGGCTGGACTCTCATTCAAGTACCTCCATCCATGATATTCTATGATTCTACATAGCAAAAAATGGTTTCATTGTGTAATACTTCTCTTACTTTCTATCCTCAGGAAAATGGCTAAGACACAGACAAAAAAAAGGAAAGGAAGATACCTGAATAATCAAGTACTGAACTACTCAAGGCTGAGTGTAAGTGATTCTAAGACTGTGTAAGGGATATCATCGTATTTTCCATTACTGCATCCATTACAACGAACAGATTATTTGATCCAAATGATTTCATTTGTTTAACATGGGTGCTCATAGCAACACTCATTGTTCACATTAAGACATCTGAACATATCCATATAATTATGTTCCAATTAACTTACCTGTCCCTCTCTCGCTCTTTGCCTGAGGAACTTGCCGGCTTCGATCCTGCACCTTCAATCTCATTCTGACTGGAGAAGCCTGTACCTAAATTAGTCATATGAATGGGTCCATGCTATGAGCAGAAAAATACAGTGGCATTAGCAAATCTACAACTGCTGTATTGACTTTAGCTCCTTAATGTAACTGTCAAGTGCCTCATCTTTCTGATAAACTGCAGAAAGCTGCACTACATAGCTCTCTGGGATTTGGAGTTAACTATACTCAGAGCACAGACTATTACTTTTCTCTGTAGGACTTGGCCAGAGATTTTGTGCTTCATTATGCTATGTCTTTATGTTTTCAATTATCTATGACTTAACTGGTTTGTATAAATCTAGTTATAAACTACAAAAATGCTCCAAAGAATGTTTGGTTCAAAGAATGCTTCAGAGGATTCTGGCAAAGTACTTTTCTGGGTAAAACAAGACTGTACCAAAACTATGTATTTTAATAATCTAAAAAGACTCATCAGTGAATGAGTTTATAATCACATCCATGCACAGAATCACTGCATTTCTGGCTATCGTTTTTTCAGGGGTGCAGGAATTGGAGAATGACACCACCCTCTTGTTTAGCAGGGAGAAAAAGAACAGTGCCAAGGTTTTAAATACAAACCATATATTGGTACAGTAACAGTTCTTCCCTACTCATTTCACTACAAGCTGTAAGAGGCTTTCAAGAGTCTGCTGTATAAAGAGGAAGTGCAGAATTCTACAGAATTTCCAGATGCTAGTCATAGGCGACTTCTCTCTAGGTGGAGAGCTTTGTATTCTCTTATCACACTGACCCAAAGACAAAACCCACTCAAAGGGAATCAATCACTCTTGGCTTAACTTAATCCCTAAGGATAAATATCTTATTTAAATGGATTCCAGAATGTAGAAATCCTAGTATTGGGAGGACAGTTGACACAGATGTGAACTTATCTTTCTTTAAAGGGAGAATACAGTAAGGTAAGATGAGAAAAGTAAGATAGGATATTTTATTTAACCTGGTATCCAAGAAGTCCAGATTCTCGTTCATCTGGCAGCTCCTCTGTGAATCGCCTCTTCTGTGCCTGGGGCTGACTTGGGAGTGGGGGCTGGGGCTGGGGTGGGGGCTGGGGGCCAGCAGGCAAGGCAGTTTTGACAGGAGCAGCAGGAATAAAAGGCCCACTCATCGGACTCTGGGACCAAAACAAACCAAGGAGGAAAAAGTGTGAGAGTGCCCAACTAACAAATAACTAAAGGATGTTTACAATATACTTTAGTGATCAATATGATGCATATAAATCTTTCATCTTCTGGTCCTAAGTTTCCTTCAAGTATAATTTGGTAACAGTATCACCTAGTCTTCCTACCTTCATGGCAGCAAACATGAAATTGAAAAACTCTACAATGTTTTGAACTCTCAGGAAAAACCTGCTGCACATCTTTGCCATTAGGAGCAAACATGATCATGAACAAACAATAGACACTCCAGTCACTTACTTAGTTCAGAAGTTCTCAAGCAAGAACATTCTCTTATTTAAAGCCCTTTAATCAATGTAATTAGCTCTTTCTGGATCATAAATGCTGCTAAGGCTTGTGTGGCAAATTCAACTTCATCTATCACTTCCATGGGTAAACTATGTCAAGAACAAGTACAATACTTTTAAGAGGTTGTTCCGAAAAGGAAAAGATAGATATATTACAGAAAACAAGCACTTCTAAAAGGAAAACTTTCATTAATAACAGCTAATATTTACTGACTGCTTACTTAATCCTTGCAACTCTGGGATATAATGACTATACCATTTTATATACAAGGAAAACTAAAACCTGGATAGATTAAGTTCTCTGCCAAGATCACACAGCTCAAAAATGGGGAAGTATCATGGACCCTGCCAGTCTCTCTAAACCCATACTCTTAACCATTCTGCTATATTGCTTCCCAGTTACAAGAGAATGTGGCTCAAAGCTGTAGAACGAGAGCTCTGCCTAAATATAAGGTAAAATAATTACGACTAGGGGACCACAAACAGAATTGAGTTCATAAGCCTATTTTTGGTTTCACTGTACAACCGCTTTCAGTGCTCACAGCCCACAGGTGAAGAGACTGGGCAATGGTTCGAGGCTGTTTTCTCTGGCATGGGTACACTATGAGAGGCCCACCAAGGAGGACCTGCCATAAATCCATTACCATGCTTTCATTAGTCTTTCCCCTGCCTCTAAGAAGAAGGGTACATGATCTAAATGAGCTGGTTACTTAATTCTTTTCCTAAAATTCTAGTTTCTTTCCTAGCTTGAGAAACATATACCAGCATTTATAATCCTTTCATTTAGGAAGCTCACATACCTTTTGGCCTAGAACACCTGTATATATATATATTTCTTCTAAGATTAGCAAATCAGTTCCAATCATTTAGATGAGTGTGGTATGCCAGCCCTAATCCATGAGAACTTTAACACTGCAAAGCCCAGGACAGGTAAACTATGATTCTGGCCTGCTATCTGTTTTTGTAAATCAAGTTTTATTAGAACACGGTCACACTCATCCATTTCCTAGTGTAGCAATGGCTTTTCCGCTACAGCAAGAGTGCAGTAGTTATGGCAGAAACTGTATGGCCCCCAAAACCTAAAATATGTATCTTCCAGCCCTTCGTGAAAAGCTCGACAAGTGCTCTAAAGTAGTATTTGGTGGCAAAAGTTATAAAGCTGTAAACTTTAGGATAAATATACACATGTACACACTATTCCAAAGTATTCAGGTAGTTCAATGGTGGGAACACAGGAAGAAACACCTCGAATTCTAATTGCTTCTGAATAATACCCCCACCTTTCTACCCCCTCCCTGCCCTGATTTTTCCTAATTCACCAGTCTCATATTCCACATCCTGGCATCCTACCTGTCCAGTGCTAGCTGGAGGCTGCACTTGTGTTATCGGGTATTGTGTTGGCACAGGTGGAACTCCAGTGGGCAGTGCTGGCAAGACTCCAGGTGCCAGAGAGACAGCTGGTGGCACTATACTTGGCACTCCGTAAGGAGGCTGGACTGGCTGCTGAGGAGGGGGAACAACAGGGTAACCAGACTGATAGCCATTGGATGGATAATATGGTGGCTGAGGAGGGACACTACTTATAGCAGAGGGTTGTGTATAGCCTGAGGGGGAAGAAAAAAAGTGTTTAATCAGCTGCAGCAGAACGAGACATTTTAGCCGAATATTAAACTTAATCTCTAGGGAAGAAAACTACTGAGGCACAAATGGCTTTCCAAATTACCCTAAGTTAAAGGGAATATTATTAGTGCCCTGGCACAGCTACTTTAACTTCGCATATCTTACTTTATTTATTACTATCACTACCAAAATATTTTTTAAACACTTCAAGACATACACACCTGGTAAAGGTACCGCAGTATTAATCTGATTCACAAATCTAGAGTATTCAGCATGAACCTGAAAAGTGAAGGGAAAACAAATCAATATGGAACAGTCTCAATTCACTTAGTATATATAAGGATATATAATTCTAGGATCAAAGCAAATTAGAAGCCAAAACATTTCCATCAATGTTTCAATCAAATTTATTAGACCTGTTTAATCTAAATTTTAGGGCCTCCCAGGTAGCTCAGTGGTGAAGAATTTGCCTGCCAATGCAGAAGACATGGGTTAGATTCCCTGGGTCAGAAAGATCCCCTGCAGGAGGAAATGGTAACCTACTCTAGTATTCTTGCTGGGAGAATCCCACGGACAGAGGAGTCTGGTGGGCTGCAGTCCATGCGATCACCAAGGGTCAGACACAACTGAGCACACACAAACACTTAATTTTAATAAGGCACACCAATAAATTACTAACCCAGGTTTTGGAAACAAGAGACATGAACAACCGGAGCACCCTAAGAGAAATGAAAGTCACTCAGTCATGTCTGACTCTGCGAGCCCGTGGACTACAGGAATTCTCCAGGCCAGGATACTGGAGTGGGTAGCCTTTCCCTTCTCCAGGGGATCTTCCCCAACCCAGGGATCGAACCAGGGTCTCCCACATTGCAGGCAGATTCTTTTATCAGCTGAGCCACAAGGGAAGCAATTTGAGGGGAGCATCCTAACCCCCCCCCCAAATTGACCCAATTCTAGGGTAGAAAATCATTCACAGAGCCACAGAAATTAAGCAGTTAGGATATTTCCAAGTTTTCTGTTTAACTGTAGAGAAACCATTCATTCTTTTATTTACTGGGTAATTTGCTCTCAAGGAGTTCATGGTTTAATGAAGTTTATTACCTCTTCCATCCAGTTCTTCATCATAAGGATCTTACTAAGTCTAACTCTGTTGCTACTTAGTAAGTAGCGACAAAGAAAAAGATGAGGAGCTGGTCAAGAAGTTATATGATACAAGGGTTGGTAAATCAGGTTACCTTACAAAAGCAAAGAAAACAACAGCTTCATCCTGAGATGCCTGATACCAAATTCCTTAAATTACCAAATAACGCAAGATTGAACATATTCAACCCCTTGAACCTTATTTCCTTTAGGTGCTATAAAAAATCCTATGGTTTAACTTCTGGTTATTTGATTATAAAATAAACAGAATGGATAGTCAAAGAAGCCCAAAGGATAACTAGTTTTCAACTATGATAACTCAACCCATACTTCATCTAAAGCTAATATCAAATTTGGAATTCAGATCATAAACAACCTGACCAGGATTAACAGCGGTATTTAAATAACTGACAATCCTGAGACTGTATGATACTATACAGTGGAATGTCATACTGAAACAGCTCCTGAAGAAGAGATGCAAGTCAACAGTGACCCTGGCTGGGGGAGTCTGACTTCCTTACAGAGAGGATCAGTTGCTGGAATAATGCAGTAGTTTGAAGTACCATTCCCACCCCCTACCAAATTTATGACTGCCAAAAACACTGGAATATGACATCGTTTGGAAACAATGTCTTTACAGATGGAGATCATTAAGTTGCAGTCATGCTGGATAAGAGTGGACCGTAAAATCAATCTCCTCCTCCTTATGAGAGGAGATATGAGAGACACAGGAAAGGCCTGGTGAAGATGGAGGCAGAGTTAAGCTGACCCAAGGCAAAGAATGCCAAGGACTGCAGGTCAATTATTAACAAGCTAGTTGACAGGAATGGAATGGATTCTCCCTTGGAGCCTTCAGAAGGAACCAAGCTTGCCCACACCTTGATTTTGGACTTCTGGCTTCCTGAACTGTGAGAGAATAAAGGTCTGCCGTTTTAAGTCATCTAGTTTGTGGGAATTTGATAGGGGAGGCCTAGGAAACTCATACAGGTAGAAAAATAACTAAGACACAGTCCAAGATGGCAGTAATCTTCTAAATGGGTTTCAGACAGATAAATATAACTTACTGTTTGCAAGAGATTCTCACAGAGCTTCTTGGCAGCAGCTAGGCCTTCTGGTTTGGGATGACTGTAAAGACGTTAAGAACCAATAAATTTGAAGGAAAGAAAAAGAAAAGATACAGAATTCTGCTTCCACTTTGTATGCTGTTTTATAAATGCAGTATAGTCTATGTAGCACAAATCTAAGTTTCTGAATATCACAAAACAGAAACACAAAAATAGTCCTTCAGTCCTTCAAGATATAACTAATATCATACCACACATGTTATGGTCTCCTTCTTTGACTAATGCTATTTCTTGATATAAACAAAACCTACTTAAAGATCACTAAAATTATTTTAAAATGTATTAATATTGTCATAGGTTTAAATGAGTTATTTTCGGCTTACTGCAGCTCATTTTATGATCACAGACTCTTATAAAACCCAAAGATGTAAATACTAAAAAATCTAATCACACCTCTACTTCAGTTTTTATTAATTACAAAGTGATTACTGCTATTATTTACTTAAGTTCCTAATGCTACTACTTATTAAGCTCATATTCTCTTGCTCCTCTTGAGTCATTTCTGCCTGTACTGATCAGCTGACAAGTATCCAAATGTCCTTGGCCCTATCCATCCATACCTGATGTAAATGTACATAGGTTCAAAAGCCTCTCGGCCAGATGCTGGCTCAATGCAGCCTGAGCCTTTCCCTCGTAGGAAGACTTTGGCACCTGTTTCAATCTGAATGTGCTGCAAATAGGTGCAGCCTGGACCTTCCACTTTCTCTTTGACATTAAAAGTGGGCACAGCATGTTCAAGACCCACGAATAATTTATCTTGAACATAATGCATCTGCAGAAGAACAGAATACCTCTAATTAAAACAGAATACACAAATAAATCCTTAAAATGAAAATTATGAGGCAAAATACTTTAATCCTCCAGATACTTTCAATCACTTCCAGAGTAAAGACCCTCCCTCCTGTAATTCCTACCATGAACCTAAAAAATAAACCCTATTAAGTTGCTTAAACACAAACTAAGTATTCCATGTATATACCTACAACATTAACATCTTACTCTGTTCAGTGAAATCTATTTAAGAAGTGAAAACCCAAGATTCAATACTGAGTAGGTATATCCACTTACTGTATAAGAAACAGCAAAGACAGTTTCCTGTAAAACTGGAGTAGAATGTCGGGTAGTACAGTCAACCCTGTGATATTCTATAACACACGGAGGGCTGCTCTCTCCAACCCTTTTTTTCTAGGAGGATTGTATCAGCAGAGTCTTACTTCATCAGACTCAGCCTTCTTAGTCCTCCAGTTAAGTTTACCAATGTAAACCAAACCACTAACTTCAAAATGCACAATATGTGTACTCTTTGATCTATCAGTCCCTTTTCTATATCAACCACAAACTGGCACTTGCCATGGGTGCTTACCATCTTCCTCTATAAGGATTAAATCATGTGCTGCTGCCACTGCTGACCTTCAATACCCTCTGAAAGGAGTTTAGGGTGGAAAATAGAAATGAGGCACTCTTGCACTCCCAGAAAACTGGAAGGACAGGTCTTCAGATAGCTAGCTATTCTCAAGAGCTGATTCTATGAGTCTAATTTTTACATCTTCTTGTACCTAGAAAAGCACTAAAATCCTTCATGGTGATGACTATTTCTCGTGACTAGCAGAAGCTTTAAGAGACCAGAAGAACTTTCTAAAAAATAAACATTTAATTACATGTACTCCCAGTTTACCAAAATCACATATATACTGTCCTTCCCCTCTATCTCTCTGGAACAGTCTCTGAGAATTATTTGAGGTACTATCTCCCAGGCTACAGTTTTCATACTGGTCCAAATAAAACGTAACTCTCAACTCTCATGTTATGCATTTTCTTTTAAGTTGACATCTAGAATGTATCAATATAAAGAGATGTGTGTTCAGATGTTCACTACCTCTCAGTAACCTAAATGGTCCATTAATAGGATTATCAAAGGGGGTAACTTTTAGGTTGCAACTTCAGGGTTTTATTTTTTTCTTCATACTCCCTATAGTATTTGGCACATATCATTTTTACAGAAATGATAACACTGTTAATGACATCTCCATAAAACATACCCCTGACTGGAAGGGAGGCTTCTGGCTAACAGCTGGAGACAGCTGTGCAATGGGTGCTGGCTGGTGATAGACAGTGACTGTTGCCCCGTTAAAAGTTGGACTTGTCCCTGTGGCAGCTTTCACTACCCCATTGGTAATAATTTCTTTGATTCGGTTTACGGCTCCTAGGGAAAAACACAGACAGTGAGGTACTACACTGAAGAAATGAACGAACAGATAAACAACAATGATAAACACAGGCCAATGCTCTGTTACTTGTGTTTTTAATCCATTTTATAGATTACCCAAATATATTCATGAGTAGTTCATAAAGAAGAGTGAGAACAGCCGTCAGGAACAAACAGTTTGCCAACTTATTACGTATAATACTTTTTCAAAAAGAGCAGTATGTGACTCAAAACAATTACTTACTGTCCACTAATTCCCGTGTCTGGCCCTGAACATGAAGATACAATGGACGATCCCTATAAAGAGAAATATTAAAATGATAATAGCAAGCTGGTCACAACCAAAGGGTCAAATGGGTCACCAAACCTAATCTGTATCACTCAAATGTTTCCAAATAAGTAAAGGAGACCATATACATGAAAATGGCTGTTGCTAGTAAAATTTCTAAGAACATGGTTTTATAGCTGGCGAAAGAATACACTTTGCTGGCTGCTTAAAGTAAATGGGCCCACACAGGGATCAAATATGCTCTTACAGGCTCATGAACGTTAATCTCTAGTCTTCTGGATAACCCAGTGTTTTGAGAACAGAATTTCCTTCTGTTGGCTGTCGAGTAAGTTATGGGCAAATGGGCTCTTGGCTATCCAACCTAATGTGACAAGAGTGGTGGCATATATATATGTGTGTGTGTATATATATATATATATATATACACACACACACACACACATGTTATTTCTTTAAAGGTCCATACCCAGAGAAGACTCTTTAGACTCTAAAGATAACATGGGGCTTCCTTGGTGGTTCAGTGGTTATGAATATGCCTGCCAATACAGAGGATATGGGTTCAATCCCTGGCCTGGAAAGATTCCACACACTGCAGAACAACTAAGCAACTAACCAACTAAGTGGGCAGCAACTACTGAAGCCCACACACCTAGAGCCCATATTCTGCAACATGAGAAGCCATCACAATGAGAAGCCCATGCACCGCAACAAAGAGTAGCTCCTGCTTGCTGCAACTAGCTTAAAGACCAACGAAGACCCAATACAGCCAAAAATAAAACGAAACAAAACCATAAACTCACTTAAACTGTGATTATAATAATAAAGAAAGTGATCAACAATCATACTGCTAATAAAAAGCTGTAGGCAAAATATAACTGTGTTTAAAGAAAAAAATGTTTAAAATAGCAACCAGCACATATACAAGGTTAAAATACAGTCTTAGCTTGGGGTAGAGAGCAAATTTTGCCTCCTAATTATATTTAGTTTAAGCCAGTATGAAAAATGTTGCACTGCCTGAATACCTGCCCTCAAAAACTGGATAATGGAAGTAATGAAACTAAACTGAGATGAAACCTTTATATGGACAACCTACAACCTATAATCATCACAGTGGTAATAAAGAATCTGATAAAAGGATTTTTCTAAAAGGGAGATTATGACAAAATAGGAACCCACTTGGGGGGGGAATATTTCCATAGAAAAAAATTTAGATATACATTAAATATTAACAACTACTGTCTTCTTTCACAGTTTAGTCTAACTTATTTCCTCCAGTAAAAGCATTAATTGTGAAGTAAAAAAACCAAACAGCAAAAGGAAAGAAACAGCTGCCAATACTTCTTACATCTGTTTTGAGATGTCTCAAATTCTGCTATAAAGTGAGTGCATGCACACACGCGTGTGTATAGCTACTAACCAAACATGTACACATATTCCCTACAAATGACAAATACATGAAGCTCATGTGAATCCTATGTCCAACTCTTCCCCAAAGTATAGGATATGCATACATACCCTGGTCCTACTTTGGCCTTCTCCTCAGTTGTCATGAACCTCCCTCGAGTTGACACTGCAGCCCCACTAAGTCGGCTGATCTAAAAAGCAAACAATGCATTAGACAATTTGGCAATTCGTTGAGTTCAATGACAGGCAGCAGGATAGATTTTCCCCATTTATTCACTCCATCAATATGCAGGAGTGAGTTGTCTCCTATTATCTGAAATTTTAATTTTATTGTTTCTTATTCAAACTAACTCAAGGAATTCACCCCATCTGTTTCTTTACCTTCACGAGTAAGTTCTTTCACAGTTAAACCAACCCAATCCTGACTCTGCAGACCCAAAACCACTAATAAAAAATCTGACTCCTGTTTGTGTTTAAAGGCCCTGTTTTCCTGACTACATCCACCCACCACCTTCCCCACAGAGGCCCAACATCTCCGTACCTCATCTTGAGTCTGTCCTCGGGTCAGCAAGTTCCTACAAGTGAGAGGCACATCATTGATCTCTACTTCAGCCACCACCAGGTCATCCTTGCTTTTATTGCTAGTTAGGCCTTTGCCAGGGGCCTGAAGCTGTAACAGGAGAAATTACATTAAAAAGTTCATATGATGAAATAACTGCTTTGCTGTTTATTTTTTTGTTCAATTTAAAACGACACCTTTCCAAGTGCCACTAACTCCTTACCAATCCCCTCTACCTAGCAAACACACCTGGAAATATTCCTTGGTCATTAGTCATAAACAAAATAAAAAGCAAACAAAACCTCCATAAAATGACACCAAGTACAGTCAATTTACTTGAAGGCCATCATTAGATATCTTTGTAACCTTGGCCCTGTGTGCATTTTTATGACCATATGATTACAGAAATGCTATGGACTAAAAGCTGCAATCTCCAAAAGGAAAATTAAAGGCCAAGTTATGATGCTTTACTGCTCAATTAGATAGCTATAGGGGCAGTAAAATATAAGGTAGGGTAGAGTCCATGCACAACCTGAGCCTTCATACATCTCATCTGTGTAATAGAAAGCTGCCTGTGTGCCAAAACTAGGGTAGCAATGTGACCTACACAACATAAAAAAATTCTGTTTCTACAGAAGCCTCAGGAATCCTTCAATTGTATCCAGTTCACATCCCATTACTCTCTATTAAGGAAGAACAAAGAGAATGAATGAAAAGACAAGTAAGATTCTAAAACCTGACTGTTTTCTCTCAATTTAAACTATGGGCAAATCCACAAGACCGTAAAATCAACTATACTTTAATAAAAAATAAAATGGAAAAAAATGCTGTACAGCAGAAATTAGCCTAACTTTGTGTAAATCAACTATAATTTTAAAAAGTTAATAAAATAGAAAAAATTTAAAAATAAACTACAGGGAATTCCCTGGTGGTCTCGTGGTTAGGATGCAAAGCTTTCACTGCTGGGGGCCTGGGTTTAATCCCAGGTTGGGGAATTAAGATCCCACAAGTTGTGTGTCATGGCCCCCTAAAATAATTAAAATAAACTACAGGTAACTCTAGATAGCTGAATTTGAGTGTTATCTCAAAAACTTTAACCTCAAGATAGCCTTCCCCAACCCTTAGTTGCCATGGACAGCACAAGGAAGGTAAAATACAGATTATTTATTTGCACATTAGGTATTTTTAAAACGTGGAAGTAAACTAAACTCAACAATATCTCTTTTCCTTTACTGACTTTCAGAATGCATTTACACACCTTATCTCACTGAATCCTTATACCTTTAAAGGTACGTATCAACTGTTGTCCAACAGAATTTTGTTTTCCACTTGCCAGTCCAAAATGGGGGCTGCCATACACACATCGACTGAGCACTTGAAATGGGCAACATGACTGAGGAACTAAGTCTTAAAATTTACAACCAGTAACTGGGGGTTCTAGGTTTCATACGGAGGCATTCTGATTCTAAATCCAGTATTCATGCACCATGCTGCCTTCTTCTGGGTTCAATTACCATTTTAGAGATTACTTTTTAAGAGGAAAAAATGAGTCTAAATGAGTAACATCAATATTAACAATTTTAACATTCAAGCATCCATCTCTATCAGTGTGCTTTTAGTATTTTCTTCTAGATTTTAGAAAGAAATAATTGACTCACACGGATCTTTTCAACCAAAAAAATACAATGAATAACAAACTTCCAATTCGCTGAAAGTTTTCGCCAAATCCACAGAACTCAAGCATTAAAACATCCACAGGGTTTCTGGCCTACTAATAAATGATGTTATCTTACTGACAAACTGGAAGGCTTTGGAATTGCATTTTCTTTCTTCCCCCAGCCCACCCAGCTTTACTGAAGTACAACTGACAGAACTGTAAACATTTAAGGTGTACAATGTTACATTTTGATATAGACATACACACACAGTGTGAAATAATTACCACAAACACACTAATTAACATATCCATCACCTCACATGCATTGCGTTTTCAAGCAGAACTCTTCACAGGTACCAAGGAAGGCAATTTTATTTAAACCAAAATAATTGTTTTTCACATGAAAACTACAACGGGGGGGGGGGGGGCGGGGGGGGGGAACTACAACGGAATAGGCTGTCTTGGAACAAACTGAATTCTCCAACTCCAGAGGCTTTCAAACAAAAGCTAAACACCCAGAGTCTGAGGTGACACTGAAGTAAGGCATCTGTGTCTACCATTTACAGATCTAAGACAAGTTAGCTTTCCATTCATGAACCTAATTTTCCTTATTATAAACTGGTGACAATAATCCACTCCATACTTGTCGCAAGGTTGTTTTTTCTCCCTGAGCGCAAAGCATGCATTCTAGCAATGTAAACAGAACTGTACTCCTTATTCTATAGGAAAATTCTTGCATTCTGCAGCAAGATAAATGCTTCAAAGTTCAGACCCATTTCAGTTGTAAGCTTCTCATTATAACAAAGATTTTATAAAATGACCAAATAATTTCCTAACTTGTATGAAAACAGCAAAACAACTCACCTATCAATTAATCATTTTAGTTCATGTTTAACTGCACTTCAGTTAGATAGTCATTAGATATCTGAGTCTACAGCTTTTTAACTCCACATGACAATTTAAACCACGCGATTTATCTTAATTTCTCTTTTGACTTCATGGAAAACGTACATGTTATCAAAAAACATATTACACCACTGCTTTAGATAATTATATACATAGAACTTAAACCGAACTAAGTGAACTAAGTCCAATCAAACTGCCTCCTAAAAACAAATCACAAGATATCATCAAATACATTTCAAATATAAGTATCTTTAATTACTGTATCCCTGTTTTCTCTTTCTTTCATCCAAATTATGGGAGATTACAAGATTACAAAATAACCCCCATTGATACTGCAATTAGCAGAGTCCCCTCAACTTCAAATACCTTCTCAGCAGCATTCTGAGTTGGTTTCAGCTTTCCTTTGGCCATGAGCATGGCATTGATCTTGGCAGCCACAGCAGCAGCAGCATCCAAGGCTCCCGAGGGTGCAGCTGTGGAGCCCCCCTGGCTTCCCCCACTGCTGGTAACCTCCCCGCCTGGGGTCGCCGGTGGCAAAAACAGAAGGGGGGCTGGAGCTGGTTGGTCCCATTTGCTCCGGCGCCTACGGAAGTAAAAGAAAAAATATTAGGCCCCATCAAAGCTTTCAGTTATATTTTTCAACCCTTACGACGCCTTAACACGCTATTTTCCCGCTATCATGTTCCCTTTACAATTTCGACTCTCCTTATCAGAAATGGAGTTACCATCTCTCCTTAGAGAGAACTACTGCAACATTTCCCCCAATACTTTCTTCCAACCTCGTTCCAGAATCTACTTCCTTTCTCCTCCGTCATCCCTATTAAGATTCCACTCTGTCCCATACGTCCTCGTTTCCGCCTCCCCCTTAGTTCGGCCTTCCCGAAGTCCCTGCTTTTCTCCTCTTTCTGATCTCCGCTGGCCTTTTCCAGGGACTCCAGGCCTGCTCACCACCCTTCTCCCCAAAAGTCCGGCCCTCCAATATGTCCACTTCCCACCTCAGGGCCCTTCCACCCATACGCTGCTTCCCATGATCCCTCTGCCTCTCCTGCTCCCCACGCTCCCTGAGATGCCTTCTCCCGCGAAGCTTTACCCGCCGGCTCCAGGATGTGTCGCGCTCCCCGCGGACATGGCGACCGGGTCTGATCAACCACCCGCCAACTACTCCACTACCACCTTCCCGTCACTTCCGCCCCCAACGCCCTTACGCAGAGCCTCTTCCGGTCGTGAGGCAAAGAGGTTCCGGTGTAAACGTCTATTTCTATTGGACTCCGATTTCAAGGCATCTGGAGTTGTGGGAGCCTCTAGGGTGTGACCTTCCTGCTTGCGCCTTGCCCTTGAAAAAGATGGCTGCTAAACCTCATATTAAGGAAGAAATGTGGCAAGAAGAATTCATCTTTGCTGTGGGCAAGTTGGTAGCCTAGAAGACAATACGCATGAGTCAGGGAATTAAACAGGTTTTACCCCAAATTCACTTACATTCCTTCTAGTCCCAGCCTGTGGCTTGGAAGAGTGCTTTCCCACGACTTTTACGAACTTCACATTTTAGTTACATGTTTAGGGAAAAGGAAACGATTCCTCCTCTCAAAGATCATTCGAAGAATTTTTTTTTCCATTTCTGTACGCCTAGCCCCATTTTAAGAGCGAGGCATATAAAGACAAACCAGCCGCGCGTCCTCCCTTTCTGTTAGTTATAAATGTGGCGGGGTAGGCACGCGGGCAATTACGTAGAATAGGACTGTGTGATAAGCAAAGATGAAGATACAGTGCCCAACTTGGTGGAGCTTACACGCAGGTATTTGAAAGAAACGGAAACGAAACGTCCGGGTGAGGGTTGGAGGAGTGATCCAGCGTTTGTTACGAAACACCGTGTCCTGGATCTGCCTACTTACGGTTGAACTGGCCGAGTGCCGGGCGGGATCCGGAAAGCCCTTGGATACCGGCTAAGTTGATTGTGAAAGCCAGAGATTACCAGCGTGTAGGGTATCTTGGAGCAGCAAGGAGTCTCTAGATTGAGTAAATGAAATATAATGGTGTTTTTCAAATACGTTTACATTGTGGTAGGATTGATATTTAGTCGCGAAGTCGTGTCCAACTCTTTGTGACTTCATGGACCATGGCCCACCAGGCTCCTCTGTCCATGGGATTTTCCAGGCAAGAATACTGGAGTGGGTTGCCATTTCCTTCTCCAGGGGATCTTCCCCACCAAGGAATAGAACCCACCTCTCCTGCGTTGGCAGGCGGGTTCTTTACCACTGAGCCACCTGGGAAGCCATCTCATAGGATTAATAGAATAAAAATTCATTTGAAATTCAAATAAATAGTGTTTTTCCTTCAGCATTTAATGAATAAATGTCCCTTCCATACAAATGCCAGCTTTATTATATATGAGATTATATGTGTCATATTTCTGCACTTTTCTATTGCATAAATCAATTTTTTCTTTTACTATAATGTCGTTATAACAATTTTATGCCTACATTAATATCTGTTAGGGAAAGCCCATATTCCTACATTCCTTTGTTTGTATTGACAGGTGTGTTTTTACAAATGAATTTCAGATTTAAAAACGTTGTTCTCCCTTTGTGTTGTCTCCCCAAAACACAGTGTTGCTGGGATTATGACTGAAATTACATTGTATTTATTTTTTCCTTTTTTTTAAATTGAGCTATAATTTACATACTGTAAAATTTACTCTTTTTGAAAGGGTATCTTACAGGTACAATTCATTGCTTTTTAGTATATTCACAAAGTTCTGAAAGTATCACCATTATCTAATTTCAGATCATTTTCATCACCTACAAAGCAACTCTGCTTCCATAAGCAGTAACTTCCAATTTTCCCTTCCCACCAGCTACTGGGAACCACTAATCTATTTCCTGTCTCTGTGGATTTGCCTATTCTGAGCACTTTATATAAATGGAATCACAGAATTTGTGACCATTTGTGTCTGGCTTTTTTGACTCAGTATAATGTTCTCACAATTCATCCATGTTGTAGCATGTGTCAGTACTTCATTCCTTTTTATGGTCAAATACTATTCCATTGTATGAATATACCACAATTGTTTATCCACTCATCTATGTATAGATATTCATCATTTCTATATCCCCTTTGGAGAAAATCCTACCGAAATCCTTTGCCCATTTTTAAATTGGGTTATTTATCTTTTTTATTGTTAAGTTGTAAGTGTTCATTATTTATTATGAATCCAATCCCCTTGAGATATATGACTTGCAAACATTTTCCCCCATTCTATAGGTTGTCTTTTCACTTTTCTTGAGTTAGTTTTACTCATTTAAAAATCATCCATTTTACCTAGAATTTAAAATGTTTTGCATAAAATTTGATTAAAGGTCTCTTATTCTTTTAATCTCATTTGTATGGCTATTTCTTTCTGTTCTGTCTTTTTCCTTTTCATTTTCTTTATCCTTGCCAGGGTCTTGTCTATTTGTTCAACTTTTTGAAGAATCCATAATTTAGTTTTAATCATCAATATGGTCATCAATTCATTGATAGCAAATTGAAGTTTTTTTTTAAGTCTTTATTGAATTTGTTACAACATTGCTTCTGTTTTATGTCCTGTTTCTTGGCCATGAGGCATGTGGGATCTTAGCGCCCCAATCAGGGATCAAACCCACATCCCCTGCATTGTAAAGTGTAGTCTTTAACTACCAGGGAAGTTAAAATTAAAAAAAAATTTTGTTTTTATTCATTAAATTCTCCTTTTGGTAATATTTTGTTTAATGCTTTTCCTAGTTTCTTAAGTCAAATGCTCAGTTTTTATATTTAAAATTCTTTTAGAATTTCCCCAAGAAAATTTCTTTGTTGGTACAACCAAGTCTGATTTTCTACACTCCATTCAGTGGCACTTTGTGATATTGCTAATTGAAAACAATCTCTCTAAAGTGAGAGCGGTTAGGCTGAGGTCATTTTTCCTTCCTGTTTGCTGCATGGTCAAAAAAACCACACATGAATCTGAATGACTGTGCATTTCCTAGTGCTCATTTGGGTAGTATTAGGTAATCTACCAACTCTAAGGCAGTGACACTTTGGAGTTCATATAAAACTCACACGACTGGACGCTATAACCTCTCTCAGTATCCTGTCCTGCCCCTTGAAACTTGCCACTCCCTCATTGTCTCAGTGGCACTTTCTGTCTACAAATAGTGGTGGTACACATCCATACCTGCCTCCTGAGTATCTCCCTGAATCCATTTAGATCAGCCCCAAAGTGGAAAATGATGACACTGGATCTTGCCGTTCTGGCCTGATGTCCTCACCCACAGCAGTGGGAGTTATGATGGGGAAAAAGAAAAGATGGAGAGTGGGCTTTCACAGGGTCTCCAGAATATTCACCAGCACCCTTTGGGGTGTCACCTTCTACCTCAAGTGCTTTTGAATAATTTTTCCATACAAAATGATTTCCTATGAAGAAATCTATCACCTCTAAAGACAGTTTAGATAGCAGATAACAGAATCTGCTATCACCTCTAAAAGCCTTCTTATATGAGAAATCTGTCAAAAAGAGAAGAATGGAGCAACTGTTCAAGAAATAGAGTGTCTAGCCCCAGCTCAGCCTCTGTTGAATCTTGGCTATACTTTTGCTAAGTCCTTCATAGCCAGGACATTTCCCAGTGTAGTTTTAAAATATGGCTCCTGGGACTTCCCTGGTGGTTCAACGGCTAAGATTTCTCACTCCCAATGCAGGGGGCCCAGCTTCAATCCCTGGTCAAGGAACTAGATCCCACATATTACAACTAAAAGGTCTCAGATGATGCAATGAAGACAGGAGATCCTGAGTGCCACAACTAAGACCTGGTGCAGCCAGGTACACAAGAATAAAAGAATAATCTTTTTAAAAATAAATAAAATATGATTCCCCCTCTCTCCCCCTCACTTGAGCTAGCTTCAGTGAGCCTTGGCTATTTGTATAATTGAAAATTATGCTATAAATTATACTAAGAGTGGGTTTACACAGAAACAGACTCACAGACAATAGACTTGTGATTACCAAAGACAGATGAGGGAGGGATTGATTGAGAGTTTGAGATTAATAGATGCAAACTGTTATATATAGGATGCATAAACAATAAGGCCCTACTGTATAGCACAGGGATTTATATTCAATGTCCTGTGGATTCAACATCCAATAGGCCATACAGAAAAGAATATGAAAAAGAATGTGTATATATATATACATATATATATGTATAACTGACGTTATACATCACTTTGCAGTACAGCAGAAATTAACACAACACTGTAAATCAACTCTACTTCAATAAAACAAAAATGTTTTAAAAGAGAGGGTTTGCAAATCATAGACCCTCGGTGAACTGTGACTGGCTGGTATCAGTTAACCCATTCCCTACTGAATTCAGCAGCGACAAAGCCAAACCAGGAGACAGCAAAGCCCCAGAGGCCCTGTTAGCAGAATGGGAGCATTATACTCCATGCTGATTATTCTTTAGAGCCTTAGGAGAAGCAAAGGCCCAAAAGAGATCAACATTTTGTTCCAGGTTTCTCTCATGAAAGGCATAGGAAAAAAAAAAAAAACCAAAAACTGCATTTTTGTAATCCTGTTAGAGAAAACTCTTTCCCCCTGTAGGCTGAAACTACTTAAGGCCAGATGGAGGAAGATTAACCTTTTCTTGTCATATTTTAGGTCATACCAAATTATTTGCCATACTAGATTATTGTGACTAAAGTTAATGCACTGTGTGGCCATGACTAGGCTCTTACAGTTGGAATGTGGATTTCTGGGAGAGCCAGAAGAGGTGGGGAAACCCCTAGCATCTGGGTTGTTTAAAAACACTTGTCAGTGCAACACTTCCCCCACCAAAACATGACTTTTCATAGGATAATAATGAATGGACTTGCAGGTAAAACATTGTGTCATCCCAAATGTGGTTTCTTTCCCATCAAGGGCCTAAGGACACAGCCATTAGAAGAATAGCAGCAGAGAGGACAGGCAAAATTCAGGCTTGGGTTCCCGCCAGGCCACAAATTCCTGCAGGACTAATTTTCCTAGGGAAATAACCACTGTCAGAAAAAGGTCATGGCTTTAAAGCCACCATCAAAATCACCATTTGGCAACTATGATAGTAACAATGGAGTCAGACAAGAAT